TGGAAATAAATGTTTTCAGTTCTTAGCAAAACATTAAAACTAATGAATCTTCATAGAAGAGTTCCACCTCCAACCCTCCTCCGTCTTTTAACAAAACTAGACTTCAATGAACGAAATATTCCCATATACAGTCATAAGAAAAAGGCACAAACAGCGAAGAAAATTTTCCCTTTATCGACTATTCATTTTCATGAGCTGTACAATCGTAATGATATCAAAAATTATAACAAAAATCTTTAGACCAATCAGATACTGGGGAACTTTGTCCTTGAAAAAATGTACTACATAATGCAAGGTGTAAGAAGGGATAACTAATTAATTTTCAAGTATTGATTTTGTAAAGATTTTGTTTGGTGGCATGGAGGATTTAATCATGAGCTGGCATCATTTAGAGAACTACTGGAAAACCTGGGAGTACTGGACAGCTGTTTCGTCCTAGTTTGGGACTCTTCATCAGTGCGCACTCACAGGTGTTCGAACCCAGGACCTTCTGATTACAAGGCGAGCTAGCTCGTAGAACATTGGGCCACTGGGACCCGATCCCTGGTGGGTGCGTACTCTCTAGTACTCCCAGGTTTTCCAGTGATTCCTTAACTAATGTCGGCTAATGGTGAAATCCTCTAAACAGTCAGACTAATTGATTGTTAGTAAGTCATTATCTCACACTGATTACGTCATGCTAACTTCTGTCTCTTTTCTGACTTACATTCAGTCATCGCTTCTTACGCCTTGCATTATGTAATACAACTTTTCAAGGACAAAGTTTACCAGTATCTGATTAGTCTAAACACTTCTTTGTTAAGTATAGTTGCGATTGTACAGCAGCTCATGAAAATGAATCGTCGAAAAGGGGTAGAATTTTCTTCGCTGTTTGTGCCTTTTTCTTAAAGAGAAACTTACACATTCACTATACAGCTTAGATTTGTTTGACCTGCTTTTAGTTATATTATCGCTTAGTTACTGCCTTCAAGTCCAAAGGCGCAGATTTTTAAAACAAGTTTTCCTTACACATACAGTGGCATAATTATAACCCCCGATACTGGAAAACCAGCCTTTTTTTTCAAACTCTAGTCCCTTTTCTAACTGAAAACACTCTGTTACGTCTTTTTCTCTGGTAATAAAGAACTTCTTCATCTAGAAAGCGAATTCACCTTATACGACATTTTGAGTCGTATATGCATTGTGTGAAGTTTGGTGACACTATACAGTTGCTTAGGCTGAAGTAGTCGAAGTGAGATTTGAACCTGTCAGCCATCAACTGAAATTTGAGTGTTTCGACCAATCAGCCATATGTCCGTCATTTCATATCATCCAGTCTTAGTCTGTAGTAATTTGATTGGTTCCCAACTGAATCACAGAATAATATCAGCTAAAAAAACCAGAAGTTTCGTCCTAGTCTGTAGCTCTTCATCAGTATGAAATATTTACCTCACCACACGATGTCAAAGCCATGATCTTAAGGTCACGAGGCAAGCTTGTCGACGATTCCATCACTGCAATGAAGCTCAGTGACCAAAGAATCCTAACTTCTCTCAGTTCGCGATATCTATGGCCCCACTGCTCACCGATATCATCAACGATTAGTTGTTCTCACGCATGACTTCACTAGAACTCTAGGTAACATCATCCTGCAGTCAGTTACTAATCAGGTGAGTAGTGAACAGGCTTGCTTAGTAAATTCATTTAGATCTCCAGAGATATGTTGACGATATCTTTATCATCTGTGAGGACAGTCACGATCTCAATCAACTACTGCAAATATTCACCTCCTGCCATAAAGTTCACTTTGGAAACTGAAAATGAATCTAAAATCCCTTTTCTTGATGTTGAGCTTACAAGGAGAGATGACGGAACTTTAAGAAGGTCAATCCATAGGAAACCGACTTGGAGCGGACAATTAACAAGTTTCTACAGCTGGGTACCAATCAGTCGGAAAAGAAACCTAATGAAATCCCTTGCCACTCGCGCCAGACGAATCTGCAGCTCCGACATCATGGAAGAAGAACTAAACTTCCCGAGAGAAATCTTCATACAAAATGGCTACGCACCAAGATTCGTAGAGAAAAACATCAAACAGAAAAACCAAAAGCAAGAGACACCATCCGTGCCAAAAAAGATACTTTATATGAACCTAGACTACAAAGGAGACCTACTTAGTGACGTCCTCAGAAGGAGAATTTCCACCTCTTTAGGAAGAACTTTCCCTGCGGCAACACTAAGAATAGTGTTCTCCAGTCGCCCGCTGATCTGCAGAAACCCAAAGGACAAGATTCCGCACATGACCACTTCTATGTGTATATATCAGTTCACCTGTTGCTGTGGAGTCAGGTACAACGGTCGTTCAACGCGCATCCTGTCAAAAAGGGTCAAAGAACACTATCCAGCGTGGCTACAGAAAGGAAATAATGGCCATATAAGGAGTGCAATAATCGAACATTTCGTCAACACTGGTCATTCCATCTCAACAAACGCCTCCTTCAAAGTAATCTACAAAGTGAAGAACAACCTTCCAAAGACAGTACGATTCCGTCTTCTTTGCATTGCAGAAGCCCTAGCCATCCAGTTGGTGGAACCAGAGCTATGCATACAAAAGAAAATTATCCAACCACTTCTACTCGCATGGTAACAACTCCGTTGATTTGACCTAACTTTTCTTTCTTTGTTTGATTTGACCTTACTTCTGTCTGTATGCTTATTTTTCTAACTTAAAACCCTTGTGTAATTCTGTATATTATTTTGTTTCCGTGTACACCCTTTGAGCACAACTCATTCATCAAACTATTCATGCCATTACGTAACTCTTACTCAACAATCATTTATGACAACTCATCACTTTTGTTACTATCCTCTTATAAACATCCAATTCATCTGAACTTACTAATTGTATTTCAGTGGGAAGTCGTGACCAGTAGGGTGCAGCTGGTTGGGTGTGAGGACAAATACTCGCCGAAGACATTGGCTAGCGGTCGCGCTATGTCGTGAATTGGCAGAAGTTAGAATTCAAGGACCATTGGATCGGGTCCCAGTGGCTTAATGGTATACGAGCTCGCCTTGTAACCGTAAGGTCCTGGGTTCGAATTCCGTGGGTGCGTACTGCTGAAGAGTCCCAAACTAGGACGAAACAGCTGTCCAGTACTCCAGGTTTTCCAATGGTTCTGTAACTAATGTCAGCTCATGATGAAATCCTCAGACCAATCAAATCCCTACAAACCAACACTTGAATTGTATTTTCGTTTGACAAATTTACTGTATACACACACACATACAAAATAACCATATCTATTTGTAATTGTCCAGCTATGAAAATGAATTCGCCAAAAAGAGACTCTTCGCTGAACTACTTGTCTTTTGTCGATCTCCAGAGTATTGTTAAAAAGTCCCAGACTAGGATGAAAAAAGCTCTCCAGTACTCCCTACTGGGTTTCAACGGTTCTTACAATGATGTTTGGTGTTGACTGTCAAAGGAATAGTTTTTTTCATAAATACCAAATTCTTAATACAATTAGTTCCCTTTTCGAATTTAGTTAGATCAACCAATATGAAGACGTAATTTGTAAGGATCGTGTACTCTTGTATTTGCGTAACACATTTCGAACAATCTGATCCATCACACACCGACATGTCATAGGAATATATATTAAATTAATAAAGAGTTATGAGGTGAGAAAATAGACTACTTAGGTCAAGTTAAAAGGACATATTAAAGGTCAAAATAACAATGAAGATCACTCACTAAACAAAATAAAAGAGGTAACAGTACATCTGCACTGACTGGTATCGAAACAGAGTTTCCCAAAGAAGGCAGGTTTAGTGTGATGACAAATTGTTGCTTTGATCAAATAAAGGTGGTTTAAACTTCCTAACTGCCAGCTAGGACTTCCACAAACTTTAGGATACGCCCTCCACCTAACACGTTTTATAGATAGGTTTAAAAGATGTGTTGATGTCAGTTCTATGTCCTGTCTCTAAAGTATGTTCCACAAAATAGGAGCTGGGTCTCTTCTCCTAGGGATTCTGTTTTCTTCTGAAGCCAGGCCTTACTTGCAGAGATCGATGAGTCCTCCCTCCTATGTATATGTGTCCACACGTACATTCAAATCGGTAAATACAGTAGGATGTGACATCATTTTTCACATTTTCTAAGGGCTTGGATGGATATATCGGCTTCACATTCTCAATTATCATGATACTAGCTGCATAAGAAGTCTTTTTACCCCAAAAACAGCGTTCAATCTTTGTCTAGTTATCAAGCTGCCTGCTATGATGCCCCATATAAGGTAGCTTCATGTACACATCCTTCTTAACGGCAAGTTGGAGAGTGGATCTGGGTGTTCCACTGACTACTTTATATCTCCTTTTGAATTTGTCTGGATAATTATTATGGCAACTAGAGTTTTGTCAACTTTCTTTCTTCTTCATCAAGTGTGTCTGTCTTCCGTACATATTCGTTGGATTTTATTGAACAGGCACCGCACTAACTAAGGCTGTTTTATACCGAACAGGGCAGAAACTTTGGTAATTAAAATATTGTTCTGTTCAGGTAAGTAGGTTTTCTATAAATAGATCTTTTTATTGACCTATCAAGTCATTGACTAAGCAATATGAATGAATACATGAATTCTTAATTAAGTTTATATTGACTAACATATCTGACACTTTCATGGATGAGTTGATTTCTCCAATGACACATGAAATGACAGAATGACACTATCCCATTACTGATGTCTTTCTGTGTGTGCGTGCGAGAGCGCGCGTATATTTTTGTACCTTCTTGTGTATACAACACATTTCTACCTTTGCAGATTGATATTGTACAGTCTACAACTGCAAGTATCCATTACATTTCTTGACCATATTGATCAATGTTCAATCTATTTTTATGTCAATATATATGTGTATACACTTTGTTTATATCATTGACATGACAACTAATAGTGTCATTTATTTGTTTCTTTGTTTATTTTTTTTTAAATTTGTATATTTATTTCCATCTGCACAAGGAAACGGTTTACCAGTGTATTCTGACTCTACTATATTGTATTGCTATTGGTGTCACTTTCAATCATTTGGAGTATTTACAATATTTCATTGGACCAATCACTGTGAGTGTGGTGTCATTTTTTCTGACTAATTTTGCCTAATTTTGATTTGATTTTTTTATTTTTTCATATTTTGATCGTTTTATATTTGAATAAGGCATTAAGAAGACAAATTTCGCAACGAGATGATATCGTCATTTCGTAGTTTCTTTACAACCGCTTTACAACTAGCAACATGGTTAACAATGATAAAATAAAGTTCATGAAAAATACTCAGTTAAATAAAAAACACAAAAGTACATGCTAATGACCAATCATATTTAGATAGGTCATGCAGTCCAGGGTAGGCGAAGATTGAAGTCTATTGATTTTTGTATACACAGTCTAGGCTGTATGTGATTAATCCCCGAAAAGTGCTTCCATCACCTTCAATAACCTTGAATTAGAGTTATGTGAAATAATTGTGAAACAGTCATTAATATTTATTTTGTGACCAGACATTAATAAGTGTTTTGCAATAGATGATGCTGGATTTCTATTAAGATTAATCGCATTGGGATTTTCTATGTAGTTTAGTAGCCATTTTGGAAACATGTTCTTTTCGACGACATTGGAACATTCTGTTAGTTCTACCTATATAGGTGTCACCGTAGCTGCAGGTGAACTTGTAGATACAGTTTGAAGTAGAGTCCACAGAATTTCGTCCTTTAATCGTAGGTACAGGGATCGAAAATGTTCGGCAAGTGAGAAAAAGAGATGCGGCGTAGAGCCCTCTGGGGCCCCTGTTAGCAGATATATTTATGTCGAAATTAGAGAAACAAATGCGAAATTTGTCTTCTTAATGCCTTGTTCAAATTTATCAAAGGGACTAATTGTTTTAACGTTTTATTTTTGTTAGTTTTTCTTTCGATTTCCTTAGCGTCTATCTATCTATCAACCAACACGCTTTGAAAATGTTTGTATCTATGCAGCTGTGAATGATTCCATATTAGTTTGTTTATTAGATGTATCACACAGTGAGTGAAACAGTATTATTACACACTGGATGACACAGTTTTGAACAAAATTTATTATTATTGTTCATAATCGTATCAATCAATTATAATCACATGACTTCGAAACTTGAGTTTTATAGTTTTCTTTGTACTCTCCTATTTGTCGACATAAGGGTAGTCGAATTTTCCAGATGTCCGTCTAGACAGGTGTTGAAACATTCCAATTACACACGTATTCTCCTCAGTTGATTCGATAATCAAAGCTTCTGTTATCCATCTCTCCCTCAACCATGCTGTTATATTAGATTTCAGAACTGTCATCCTATCCCATCCCATCCTATTGTATGGTTGTGTGTAATTGCATGTGGTGTAGTGCTATGGCTGAACTATTCACCAGGTTTCTTATCTTATTCGGGTCAACCAATCTAGATTTTGCTGCTAGGTGTTTATGTTCGGCTAGTCTGACTGACTGCCCTCTTGTTCTGTTAGTTCCACCTATGTATTTGACCTCACTGACAATCATTGTAGTCAGGCAGGCTATTAGATAAACTAAATTGTTTTGTTTTAATGGCTCCACAGGATTGATCCTTTTTCCGACAAAGCATGTTTCTAATTGAGTTTGTGGGTGGTTTGAATGCCAGCCACCTCTATTATTTCCTGCCTGACTTGTTGATAATTCTGAATAAGTTGGTTTCCGAGGTTCCTTCCTTGTATGGAATTACTACTGATGATTTAGATTCCTTATTGTTTGTGTCGTCATTAATAATAGCATTATTATCACTAATATTATTATTATTATTATCAATATCACTACTATCATTATTTATTTTATTTTTACATTACCTTACATATTTCCTGGCTAATTTATCAGGGTAGTTATTAAGTTTCAAGGCTTCTCTTATACGCCTCACTTCTTGTCTTAGATTTTCCTTGTTACTACTTAGTTTTTGTGCTCTGTAACTTAAACATTTCACCAATCCTATTTTTCCTGACATACGATGAAATGATGGTAGATTGGCGGAACCGAATATTTCAACTATAGCACTACATGCAATTGCTCACACAACCATACAATAGGGTGGGATGGGATAGGATGACACTTTTAAAATCTAATGTAACAGCATGGTTGAGGGAGAGATTGATAACAGAATTGGGCTTTATTTATCGAATCAACTAAGGAGAATACGTGTGTAATTGGAATGATTCAACACCTGTCCTTCCAGATATCTGGAAAATTCTACTACCCTTACGATGACAAATAGGAGAGAACAAAGAAAGCTATAAACTCAAGTTTCATAGTCGTGAGATTACAACTGATATGATTATGAACAATAAATTTTGTTCAAAACTTCGTCATCCAGTAAATGATACTGTTTCACTGTGTGATACATCTAATAAACAAACTAATATGGAATTACTCACTACCACACTTCCGAAGTTTTACACATATATTGAGCTGTGAATGATCTTTATTAACGCCTATTGAAGATGAATCAATCAGCTGCTCTATCTCTCTCTCCCACCTTATGTGTTGTTTCAGCATTTTGAGACATGAAGGATATTTCCAAAAACTAGAATACCCCTCTAAGCAAATAATGTTGTGAAAAGAAATGAATAACCAAAGATGGCCAGTAATTACCAATCAGGGAACGAACTTCAACGAACCAATCACATGAAAGAAGGATTTTTGGTTATGGAAAATATATGTTTATGAAAGAACAGCATAATAAAACTTCAGTGACACTCGAGATATTAGTAGTCTTTGACCAATTAGCGACTCATTTGACTGAGCGTATCTTTTACCCAGAGAGTGACAGTGATAGAAAGGAAGTGAAGCTGAGTAAAAACAGGTGATCAGTTCAGAGATATCAAGCTATACAATCGCACATATGTATATGCATAGTGAATTGTCTTAGTAACAAAATGGAGGAATATTTCCAGAAATGTATCATTCGATTTGTAAATATTTTGGGATAACAAATTACGTCACATGAAAAAGCCACCTAGAATGATGGCCACATTGCAAACCTGGCTGACTGATAGAATTCAGTCTACACCAAACACCAAGAAACTAGACACGTCACACTAGTTAGTGACTAGTGTCCAATCAAACTACCCAATACAGTCCTACAGGAGGTCGATCGCGAGCTCAAATACCTGGCTCAGTGGTAACGTCTCTGAATGCAGTCAGCACTGGGTGACGCGGGTTCGAATCTCAGAGGAGTGAGACATGAGTTCCTTCAAGGCAGCTGCAGATACGCCTTGCTGACTGGTGAGTGCCAACTAACACAAAACCTAGGTCCTGGCAAGGCTTTCTATGGCCGATTGCCTCCATCCATCTAAAGCGTTAATCCAGTAGAAACTAAAATGTAATTATATAAGTAGTTTGAGTAGCGTAGTATAATTGACGGGTTTGAGTACAATTCAACTAGACTTTTAACGACAGTCAAGTTAAAAACATTGATAACAAGAGATAGAAATTCAATAGGGAGTGAGGGACGATAATAATCCAAGTGAGAAACGAAAATTACGTATTCGGTGTCAAGACAGATCAGGTCAATTGCAGATTTAATGACTGAACAAACTTCTTTATTATGAAGAGTTCAGGAGACCTGGCCACTGAGAGTGGAAGACATGAAAAGATAGCTAGCTGTCTTTGATCATAGGTGCCTGCACTCTATTTCCCGTGTAAAGTTGCACAATAATTTGAGCAACACTGAAGTTAGGCGTCGAGTTCTAGGTAAACAGGGGAAATCAACCGACGAAGTCGTGAAGTTACAAAGACTGAGATGGTTAGGACATGTGTTACGTATACCTGGTCATCGCCTCCCTCGACGAGCAATGTTAGCGGATATAGGTTCAGACTGGAAAAAAGCTAGTGGCGGTCAAACCAAAACATAGCACCAGTCAATGAAATCCACAACAGTTAGTCTAAGCCACGTAGGAAGGTGTAGACTTCCTGGTGGTCCTCGGGACGGTAAAAATCTATGGTTGAAAACAATTGGTGACATGGCTCAAAATCGTTCTCAGTGGTTGGCCTAGATGCATTCACTCCTTGTGACTTATGATTTCCAATGAAACTGTTTTGTTCTTCGTTATTACTCCTCCTTTGTCTCACACCTCTGCCCGTTGTCTCTATTATGCTTTTCTTGTACTTTCTTCTCTTGCTTCGTGTGCTACACGGAGTGTGGCGACTTGAACTTCCGCACATTTGTGCAAAGTTTTATGTCGAAAACAGACAGACAGAAGAGTTAAGGATGTAACATGTCAATTTTCATGACTACAGAGCTTTGAAGAAGTTTGATTCCTAATGTTTTAGCGAAACCTTTTCATCACAAAATCTATGAAATCTAGACCATTATAACCACCCACCTTAATCTACAGTTCAATGCATACTCATCAGCAGAAGTATTAAGAAACCACCTACCCCGCCCGCTGATTGAAGAAAGCCTTCTTCGCGCAGAACTTCGACTAACTTTCTCTATGAAATCAAATGATTCACACAGACGTGAAGGCTTAGCCTACGACTGTCGGCCTTATCAATGAGTGTCTATGAATTCACTTGCTTATGTGGAGCTAGGTCAGCCACCCGTAGCCAACGTTTACTATCCAAACGTATCATCGGACATTTACCCATACTTATTTTTTATAAAGGAGAAAGTAATAATAATAGTATCAATGCACACTGACAATTATGGACATCAATTTGATTGGGATAATATCAAAATCTTAAACAGAGGAAAAACCAAATGTGCCAGGGAATTCCTAGAAGCCTAGTATCCAAACGAAAATGCCGTTAATAAACACTTTAATACAGATGAAATATATCAACTAATAAAAAGCAAATCAGGTGACCAGAAAGTTTAAAATCCCAATCAATAGAAAACGGTCAATGCACACATATGTAAAGATGGTTGGTCACCACGAGACACAATTGTATCATCATTCATGGAGATTTTAAATCATTTGACATTATGCTAAATACTGCGCTGAAGCTGTCGTCCATAAAGACGACGAAAGCTCCGCAACTAAACCAAACAGCTCAAAGAACACTATTGATTGCATAGG